TTTTTTTTTTTTTTTTTTTTTTTTTTTTTTTTTTTTTTTTTTTTTTTTTTGCACACTGGCAGGGAGCTGCTGAGGATTGAACCCAGGGATGTTTTATCACTGGGCTACATGCCCAGCCCTTTTTATTTTATTTTAAGACAGGGTCTCACTAAGTTGTCCAGGCTGGCCTTGAATTTATAATCCTCCAACCTCGGCCTCTTGAATACCTTGGATTACAGGGGTGTGCTACTGCAGTTGGCCGATACCTGTCTTGCAAGCCAGCCTCAGAAGGTCCCTAGTATCATTTCTGTGTACTTTCGTGATCAGTGCAGTCACAATGCTGGGGAAGGCACAGACCCCATTTCTCAATAGGAGAAATATCAGAATAGCTGTGGTCCCTTTTAAGCCACCATGGAAAATAAAGGGAACAGCGTCAGGGGAGTGGGCAGGGCCATAAGACCACCGGGACTGTCCTCTGATCACCAGCGAATCCTGCTGGGTGCTGGCCAAGTGCCACCGAGTCACTGAAGGAGCTCACAGGAGCATCTGCTGTCACTGGATCTGAAGCACTGTGAAGAATCTCTATCCCCAAACCTTTCTTCCTCAAAACACTGCTGGGGATTCTCCAGGCCGGCAGGAAACAGATCCGGGTGTCTGCATTTGACTGTCCTTCCACTTTCCTTCTCCTCCTTTCCGATTAAGCTGTCTCCATCCTCCTCTAGTCCCATAGCGGGGCCCTCACCTGTACCTGTACCCTCCCCTACCTGTGAGCCTTAAGCACTTCACTGCAAATCCTTATATTATTGACCTGGGCGGGGAAATATGCCATTAGTGATTTAACCTCCGCATGACATTTCTCCCTGATTGCTAGCCCCCGATGATAATTAGCTACTGTTAATTCCTGATAATTAACAAGCTAATACTTAGAGGTAATGGCACCAGGTAATCATCATTAAAGACTCAGAGCTGCTGAGCTCCCGGACACCTTTTGAAAGGGCGACCCTGCTTTTTGGCAACTCCAGCCCAGGAGTTATCAGGAGCCCTGCATTTTTGTTTTTGTCAGCAGTGGCTGAGAACTGACATCTCTAATCTTTGATGTAATTTTCTTCTCTGGCTACAGAGATAACACATGTTCTTTTAGAAGCTCTGTTGAGCATGGAAAAATATATAGAGTATAAAATGTATATAATCATTACCTGGAAGCACCCATTGTCAACATTTTGATGTATTCCTTCCCGGTCTAATTTTTCACACAGTCCGGCTTATGTTAAATGTGTGGTTATACAGACAGATTTGTTCACCAAACATTATAAGGTAAGCATCTTCTTGTGTAGTAGCAACTTATTTTTTTTAAAAAAGTCTGCCTCTTCATCAGAAAAATCAAATGAACGTAGAAGAGGGATGAGATTCATGGGATGGACGGAGGAGCAGCTACGCAAAAGCAGAAAATGGCCCAAGTTCTCCTGATCAGGCTGGAACTAAGAATCCCAGCTGACCAGAGCAGCTCCAAGGGGCCTCCTGAAGGCACTGGGTGAGCGAATGTGAGCACAAGAGCCCACACTCACACAGGAGGCACATGGCTAAGCAGCCGGGATCTAAGACATTAACCATGGTGCTGCTTGTAGAGAAGGAAGACACAGACAATTTTCATTTTCGTGTTGCTTTCTATGCAGTACAGAGAAAAAAGTATTGGATAAGCATTCCGAACATTCACCTGTGAAGACTTTGTCTCTCCAAGTAACGAGTGGGGTGATCTCAGGTATTCCCACCTCCTAGAACTTCATTACCGGTGGTGAGGATTGAGGGCAATATTGGTCCTGCCTGCTACAAGGTGGTTTTCTGAATCAGAACTGCTGGGTCATGGTGTACCACCATGAAATTGATACTAGAAGGCCCGCCCCATGGTTTCCCACAGGAAACTCCAAAGCATAAGGTGACAAATGTTTTCCAAATATTGTGTCATACATTCTAGATTCCCTAAGTGACCTGCTTCATCTCAACGCTCCCGGAGCCCACTTATTTCTTCAGTAAAGGATGGTATCATCCAGGCTCAGACTTTGGAGTTAGACCTAGGTTGAAATCCATAATCTGCCACTCGTCTATGATTGCAGGGAGGCTGCTTAACATCTTGAAGCCCTTGCCTCCCCATCCATGAGAGGGCACTGGGGACTAAGTCTGACTACTTGTGGGTCCTTATGAGATCCTGGTGAGATACAGGAGATAAAGGGCTTTGTACAGAGCCTGATAGTTAAGCAGTACTCCGTCAATAATGTCATTTATCCATAAATAAACACGATCGTATAATATATAAATATGTAAATTATATTCACAGTATACAAATAGTTCTGCAACGAGTAGGATTGTTATTTTCACTCCATGTGGAGTTTTATAAATCCACTATGTACTTAAGGAATAAGGCTCTTGGGGTTTTCCTAACAGCATTTCAGGCTTTTGGGTTTGCTGTTGTAGAGTTGGACGGACAAGGTCACCTCTGGCCTCTTCTTTTATGTATTGCTTTTATGGTTTCAGAGCCAATCCCCTGTCCACTTTCATCTCTCCAAATCTCCGAGACGTGAATCTTTCTCATCTCTTTGCCAAGCTCAACATTAAAATTGGCTGCTCAGCTCCCGCCAGGCGACAGCTGTTGTATTGCAGGCGCTCTGGTCTGTCTGTCCCACGAGAAGCAGAGCTTTTGTCCCTTGTTGCCTTATAAGAAACACTTTCGCCAGGCTCAAGCTTTAGATTTTCAAAGCGTCGTCATATCTGCCATTGCATAACCCCCAGCCACTGTGTGTGGTGGGAGAAGCAGGTCTTTCTCCTCATCATAGGGAGCAGCCCAGTTTCCAAAGTGGCTCTTGCGGAATGGCTTGCCATTTTGTGGTGAAGGGATTTGGGGAAATTCTGGAAAAAGCAAAGCCAAACTTATTGTTCTGCCTTTAACATAAGTGCAGTGTGATTCTTCAAGAGTTATATGCAGTGCTTCTCAAGTTGCTTTTTTAAACCAGAATCCCCCTTTTTTAGAATATTCCGTAGAACTATCACTCCACCCTTGACCCTCACGTGTGTAGAATAACTTGTTGTTTTTGTTTTGCCTTCTTCATGGAGCCAGTACAAGGAGTGCTGTGCACCCCACCTTGCAGGCATGGTGCTCTTGCAGTGGGGAACACACATGTGCCCACACCTCCTGGGAGCCAGCGTGGGGCTCATTTGAGGTTCCATCAACCCTGCTCCAGGCAGGGGCTACGGCACAGCTAGTGCTGCGGGGGCACCAAGACACCCCACTTCTTGGAAAGAACACTAATTTCTCCCACGCTTTTTTTCCTAAGACAACTCAGCTCTGCTGGCAAATGCAGCTTCTGTCCCTTTTCAGCCGTCTCTATAGCTGCCTGTGCCTCAAATAGTAGCTGAGACGTGACACCATCCCTTGGTAGAGCCTCTGGGCTATCAAGGGGATCCTAGACTTGGTGGACCTCAGCCAGGCTGCTGTGCCTTCTCCTGAGCTCAGTGCTATCCTTTCAAATCCCTGACCTTATAATCCTGAAGGAGGCCCACAGCAAGGCCAGCTCAGTGACACCCCCTGTCGGCACTGCCCCAGGCCCACACTTTTCTACAAATGGCCCAGGAGACGCCCCCTCCCCTCACCTGTTTGCTGGGCACAGTGCTTCTCAGAATTCAGCAGGCAGACAGCTCAGATGGATTGTGTTTAAAATGCAGATTCTGATTTGTCAAGTCGGAGAGGCCAGATACCGCTTTTCTAACCGACTAATGCTGCCGGCCCATAGTCCACGCTTTGAATAGGAAAGATGAATCATCACCTCGAGTTTCACAGTAGAATTACCTGAGAGCATTTTTAAAATATTGTTACTTGGGCCTTAGTGGAAAACAGCAGTACCTAAATCTCTCTGAAAGGTGCCCAGGAGTCAAGGGTTTACAGACACTCCCCAGTGATCCCAGAAGGCAGTCAGAGGTCAGAACACACGAGCGGGACTCTGGGCTCTGGACTGGCACCCCCTGCTTGAGTCCCCACTGTTTCCCTGCTCCCAGACCAGTGCTTGGCCCTGGCAGGGAGTGGCAGATGAGCTCTCAGCTTCTCTCTGGCTGGTTCACAACCGGCTTCTGCCAACTCTTCTGTGCTCTGGGCAGACAGGACTGGAAGCGTTCTAATCAGATGGATTAAGATGGCCCATTGAACTTGGCCCGTAGTACGGCTTCTTTACTGGGTCAACCCAGTGCTACCAGCGATTAGTCGCGAATTAGACGCTTCCCCTAAAAATCCTTGTCCGCCCTTCTGCTGCTTCCCACGGCGGCCACCACTTCCATTTGTGGAGCCTGCTGCTGTCAGAGAGCGTCTGAGCCTCCGAATCCTTCTCAGCACAGAGGAACTCACCCAGCAGTTCTCTGTCTGCCACCCCTATCACCGGGCTGCATTTCATTGCTTTGTGTTTTTCCAGATGGAGAACTCTTCACGAGTGAGCGAGGAAGGAGTGGCATTCCGCTTTGTATTTCCCATGTCTGCCACAGTGGGTTGCTGAATGACTGATGGATTGAAGGAATGAATAATAGTACACAGCCACAAGGACTCAGACAGGACAAGAGGATCCTTGCAGTGGCCTGCAGAGAAAGCTGTGGACTCCTGAGAGGCAGAGAGAGAGAGAGAGAGAGAGGGAGGGACCTCAGCTGCAGTGGCCAGGACCTGGTGGTCTTTAATCTCTCATCGGGCTGGGGAGGTGACTTCAGTAACTACACAGGTCTCAGCCTTCTCAGGGCCACTGCCGCCTGCTCATTCTCCTTGCTTTCCTCAGAGCCCACTCTGTGCTGCCGGCCACCCTGAGCCTCTGGGAAGATGAGCGCCTGTGGGAGGAAGGCCCTGACCCTGCTGAGCAGCGTCTTCGCCGTCTGCGGCCTGGGCCTCCTGGGCATCGCTGTCAGCACTGACTACTGGCTCTACCTGGAGGAGGGCGTGGTCCTGCCCCAGAACCAGAGCACTGAAGTCAGGATGTCCCTGCACTCAGGCCTCTGGCGGGTCTGCTTCCTGGCAGGTAAAGGGTTTGGAGATGGCCCTGATTCAGGAAAGCCTGACCAAGAGGTTCTTCCCTGGGGAGAGATGCTGGAGGTGACAGTTTGCCCCAGGCAATGTTCACAAACCCTAGGAGCTGCTGGCTGCAGTGAACCACCAGAAATCCATTTCCATCTCACACCATGATTCACGATATCCATTTGACAGCCCCGTCCCCTCCCAGGCTGGCCTTCACCATGCTCTCCTGCAGGGCTGAAGGAGGAGGACCTGACGCAGGTTTCAAATACTCTTATGAGCCTCAGTCCGTGAGCCACAGGTCCCACATGGCCCTTCCAACACTGCAGGGCTGACTTGTTATTTCTGCTTTGCAGATGAAGAAAGACTCGGCAGGCTGGGTAACTCTCCTTAGTTCAACTTCACCTGTACCCACTAGTTTGCACTTAGCAGTTTCTCTGTTCTACTGTCCATGAAATGACTCAAGAAAACCCAGATGCACGTGTTTCCAGATCTGTTTTGATCCTGCCTATCTAGGCTTTCACCAGCTTCTCTGGAGCCCTGGGACTTGCTACTCCAACAGCTCGGTCCTTTATCCATTTGTCATGGCCCAGCTCATCTCCCATACACAAAGCTCCCATGGCCGCATCCCCACGAGTCTGGCTGTGGGGGTGAGCTGGCCAGGACAACCGTGGCAGTCCCTGGTGCCCTGTAACCGACATGTACCTGGGAGGAGACCAGTTTGTTCCTCACAGCTTTATGGTGGATCTTTGCAGGAGACACCTTCAGGCCCAGCCTCCTGTTCAGAGGCCTGAGTCCACTTCAGGAATGAACCGCATCCAGCTCTGACTTTATCTCCCACTGCTCCAGACTATGTGGCCTTGGTGTCTGCTTAAACTCAGAGCTGAAGTCACCAGGATCCGGTTTCCAAAGTGGTTAACAAGGCTGCGGGGGCTTTGTTCAGTGATGACCCCATTCATGAATCTCAGTCAGCCACGCAGCCTGTCACTGGTCCCCTCTGCCCCGGAGAAATGAGAAGGCACCAGATGCTGCCTCAGTGTGGAGTTACAGTACTGCCCTCTCCCATGAGACTCATGGTGGCTGGATCCATTCTCCTAGAAGGATGCAATGGAAGGACATGTTTTCCACTCATGCTGTGGGCTACCAGCAGGGACGAAAACCCTCTTGGGGTTTCTTTCTGACCTAGGTGCAAAGATACTGTGGGTCAAAGATCCTAGAAGCAACTGGAAATTCCCTTTGAGCGTACTAACCTCAAATCCGTGTTCCAGAAGAACCTAGCAGTGCATATAACTTTTGTCTCCACAGGTGAGGAACGAGGACGCTGCTTCACCATAGAGTATGTGATGCCCATGAACTCCCAGCTAACTTCAGAGTCCACAGTCAATGTTCTAAGTAGGTGTCTTAAGTGTTCCAAACTGGCCACTGGCTGGACAGAGAGGAACAGGGCAAGGGGAAGGTCAGAGCGGCCAGCGTACTCTCCAGAGCTACTGCCCTAGCCTCAGTCACCCATGCAGGCCTGGTTCACTAGAGCTTGCTCTACCCGTTGGAGTGTCATAGTCATGACTCCAGCAAGTGAGAATGAGTTCATACGCCGGGAATTGGACCCGTCTCTCTGGACTGTAGCAAGACTTGACCTCACCAGCAGAGGTTCTGACCCTCAGAGTGAACTTGCAATACTGCAGTACAATTCTGATACAGGTGCCTGGGTGTGTGAAGGAGTTGGTTCCAGGACCCCTTGCAGATATAAAAAAAAAAAAATCAAGGAATTCTCAAGTCCTTTATATCAAATAGCACAGTATTTGCTTATAAGCTATACACATCCTCCTACATGTTACATCATCTCTAGGTGTTGCATTACCTAATGCAGTGTAAACGCTGTATAAGTAGTTGCTCTGCTGTACTGTCCAGAGTCTGATGGCTAGAAAGAAACTCTACATGTTCAGTCTAGCTGCATCCATCGTAAGTGTCACTACACCGTGGTGCTCCTCGGTGATTAACCCAGCAGGAATAACAAAGACACTCCCATCCCTTGGACAAAGACCTGACTGCGTGTGTGAGTGTGTGCTGCTGAGGACTGAACCCAGGACTTTCATACACAGAACTTCCTCCCCATCCTTTTTTATTTTGAGACAGGGTCTTTCTAAGTCACTAAATTGTCCAGCCTGGGCCGAACTCGCCACCTCCCCACCTCAGTCTCCCAGACAGGCATGCAACACCATGCCTGGGTCAGAAAAATTCAACAGAACTACTCCCCAACTAATTACAAATTGAAGAAGCCAGTTACTGCTCTCTGTGCCACTCAGAGCAGCCCCTTGCCGTAGACATGAAGAATCGTCCTGTGGGAGGAAGCAAGATGAGGTGATCAGGCCCTCCCACGGCTACCATTGCTGCTTCCACCAAAGTAGACTCCCAGGAGCAAAGTAGTGTATGCCTGAAGGAGAAGACAGGGGCCCAGAATATGTTGAAGTCAGGCCTTCCAGCCCTGCCTGAGAACAAAACCCTGCCTTCTCTGGGAGGTTCCCCAGTCCCCTGCTTGGCACAGGTCCTGGGAACCCATGCAGGGGCTGCGGGGGCTTAATAAGCACTGCCACGCATTGCCTGAGATGAGGGTCAGCAGGTAGGGCCGGGGAGGCCAACAGGAGGCTGACAGGCTCTTCCTCTGTCCCCTTGATTAGAAATGATCCGCTCAGCCACGCCGTTCCCTCTGGTCAGCCTCTTCTTCATGTTCATCGGGTTTATTCTGAGCAATATAGGACACATCCGTCCCCACCGGACAATACTGGCCTTTGTTTCCGGCATCTTCTTTATCCTCTCGGGTAAGTTATCTAGTTTTCCTTTCATGCATGTTAGATTTCTGATATTTAGCTCCTGAACAGCTCTGCTCCAGGAAGTATTGATCACGGCTTTGCCTTAGCCCTTGGCACTGCAAACAGGACAAGTCTGAGCTGGAGGGGAGACCCACCCATGACCTTCCAGGAGAGCTGAAGAGTTCAGGGAGCACAGGCACCCTGGCTGGCTCACCCCGGGCAGAGTGGGGATGGGAGCCCAGGGTCTCTCCTCACTCAACAAATCCCCTACTCCCTCCCTAGCCCAGTGGTGATGAGAATCGCTCTTGTTGAGGGGACTGTGTCTTTGTGTTTGGGCATGAAAAAGAAATCCAATCTGCCTTTGAATAATGCTCCTTTGAGCCCTAGCTCTCAGCCACCCCAGGAGATTGTCCCCACACTCACTACCACATCCCAATAGCTGGGGCCCACAAAGCCCCCACAGCACTGACCCATCTTCCTGGACGGGCACCAGGCTATCCTTCATTCCCCGAGTCACTACATCTACCAAGCTCCACTCTGGGTGCTGGCATCAATACCTACAAAAAGATCAGAGTAGTGGAGACATAGATGAGTAGGCAGGAAAGAGAGACCCAGGCTCTGACTGGGGCCAGCAAGGATAGCAAGGCGGGTGAGAGCCATTCTGGGAACTCAGGCTGAGGGCTGGCTGGGGAAGGTGACCAGAAAATGAGGAAGGGTGAGTCAGGAGCGGGCAAGAAGTGAGGCTGGAGTGGAATGGAAAGGGGGCCCTGGGGAAAGAGAGGATGAAGCATTGGGGTGGGGAAGTATTGAACATCTTCCAGTGGGCTCCGAGAAATGTGGTGAGAGGTAAAGGAGGGAAGGCACCTGAGGTCATCTGATTGATTTGAGGATTTTGAGCCAAGAAGTGCCATAGTCAGATGGGATGTTAGAACATCCACTCTGGAGAATGGAGGGAAGGAAGGAAACCAGAAGGGAGGAGGAGAGACTCAGGAGAGGGCTGTCCCAGGAGCACAGGAGAGAGGTGATGGTGGCCCAAATCAAGGATGATGCAGCAGAGTGACGGGAGAGTTTGAGGGCTGTTTGGGAGGTAAACTCAATGGGACTGGGAATGGGCTTTCCAGGGAGGAGTCAAGGATGAGGGCCAGTTCCTTGCTTGGGCACAGAGTGAATGGCATGTTACACCAGTGATGTACGGATCACAGGAGAAGGAACAGGTTTGGGCCAAGATCATGAATTTAGTGTGGGAAATGCTGGGTTTGAGGTGTCCATGTGACATCTGGAACATTTATAGAAGGCTGCTAGAAGTCAGGGTTTTGGGCTTACAGGATCACTAGGACCAAAGATAAGAGACTCGGGAGATGTCGGCCTAAGAACAGGAGTGTAAACCATAGACATAGATGTGACTATTGACAGGGAGGATATGGAGAGAGAAGAGGAAGGAATGTGGGAAAGAAAGGTAAGTACTTTCTCTCCTTCAAGGTGGTCTGTGCATTTCAGAAGACCTTTCCTTCTGAAGACTTTTGACTTGGAAAAAAAGAATGATTGTCAGGGCATGCAGTTTAAGTGCCCTGGACTTGTTGATTGGAGAGAGGTGACTGGGAAGGAGATACTTGGGCAGAAGATGCAGGAGTGGCTTGAAGGATGGATGGATGGATAATATGTGGACGGACAGATGGATGAGTGGAGGATGGATGGGTGGGTGGGTGGATGGATGGGTTGGCAGGTGGTGGATGGATTCACGTGTACATGGAAAGAAAGGAAAAACAGCTCTTGGTCATCGCCTCTGATTGCCACCTAACTGCCAAGTGGCTTTAGCATCCTTTTCCCAACATTTTCTTGTCAACATAGCTTGGAAACCAGGTGGCAGTCAGATTGCTTGATGCCCAAGGAGCAATTCCTTTTTCTCTTTCCTTCCATGTACTCATCTATCTAGACATTCACTCCTTCTGTCTTCTGTCTGTCCATCCATTTTTCAACCTACTCACCAACCCACTGGCTATCCACCCTTCCATCTATTCATCCATCCTTCCACCCTTTCACTAGTCCAGCAGCACCCACAATGCCATCAACTAAACCTTTACGTGGTGATAACTGCACTTACCCTGAGAGGTACAGACCCAGGGTTAAGCCCTTTATTTTTCCTTGTGTGAACATCACAATAGCTCAGGCTTTGAGATTTCAGCAGTGGGTTATAGGATCAAATATCCAGGAATGAGCTGGGCCGCCTGAAATTGTTTTAGTAATAGCAGTAGTAAGGGGCATTTGGGGGCAACAGTGATTCAAATTGTGAGTTAAGTACCAAGGAAGGCTTGAATCACATCTATTTTCCTTTAACAGTCATCTTTTGAGATGCCCCAGTTTCATACAATGGGAATTAAACCTGAACAGCTCAACACAGAGTAATTAATTATGCTTTGATTCACTTACAGTTACTAATTAATGAGACTGATGCCTGAGGCAGTTATTTATACAATGGCAGTTAGAGTTTTGGGTCCCAGCGGCCCCTGGTCAAATGCTAGCCAGAATCTGGACACACTCTCTTTATATCTCCTTCATAAAGATCTCAGCTAGGTTACTTCCTGTGGCCATGTGGGCTGCACAGACCCCAGGCCACACTGGTAGACCCACAATGATGCATACTACCCTTTCCTGGAGATAGGGATATCTCTGAATAGCCCTGTCAAGGAATCTCTCTTATTCCTCAGTTTAGTCAAAGCCACTTACTTGCTTGCTTAGCAGTTCACATTAGTGTCAGCTGGGGAACTCTGAATACAATGAGGTGCAGGGGTCCGGGCCACCCTGAGGGAAAGAGAATATGCAGTGCTAGTTCTCGAGCAGGTGCATCAGACAGGTGTGAGCCACTGGATAAGAATCACTGAGTATGGCCCAGGGCTCGAGAGGGTAGCTGGACAGGGAGCATCCTTACCTGCAGTTGTCTACTGTGAAGAAAGTACTGGTCTAGACAGGACTCTGAGGAGGCTCCTGCTCACTCTCAGACTCCAAAAGGAATGCACTGTGATCCAAGGCCCATGGCTCTGTTCTTGACTGGTGCCACATAAGCCAATTTTGGGGCTCTGTGCTGTGTTGAGCTGAGAACACCCTTCTCCCCCTGTCCTCACCCAGGCCTCTCTCTTGTGGTGGGCCTGGTGCTCTACATTTCCAGCATCAACGATGAGATGCTCAACAGGACCAAGGATGCCGAGACCTACTTCAACTACAAGTATGGATGGTCATTTGCCTTTGCCGCCATCTCCTTCCTTTTAACAGAGGTAACCTGCCCTGCTGCCTCGTGCCACACTGGGCTGGGTGGAGCTGGGCACGGGCCCACCGGGCCAGGGGAAGAAGGAAGGTAATCCACCAGCATCCTGGACCACCCACTCCATGTTCCTTCTCCTTCCCAGACCAGGCCACACTCTGGCCTTTCCAGGTCTCCTCCATCTCGGCCATCTCTAGGCCCACTCCTGTCCCTGCATCCAGGACCCACCCCACTAGATGCGAGAGCCCTCCATGGCTGTGCGCTGTGCAGACCCCAGCCAGGCCCCAGCAGTGAGCACTCCTCTGCTTCCTTCTCACATAGAGTGCTGGGGTGATGTCAGTGTACCTGTTCATGAAGAGGTACACCGCCGAGGACATGTACAGGCCTCACCCTGGGTTCTACCGCCCACGTCTGAGCAACTGCTCGGATTACTCCGGCCAGTTCCTGCACCCGGACGCCTGGATCCGGGGCCGCAGCCCCTCTGACATATCCAGCGACGCCTCCCTGCAGATGAACAGCAACTATCCAGCCTTGCTCAAGTGTCCTGACTACGACCAGATGTCTTCTTCTCCCTGCTGAACACTCCCAACACCCACCTGGGACTGAGGACAGCCAAGAGACCCTTCCCTTCTCCCCTGCCAGCCCCTGAGCCCCAGGACACCTCCTGCTTAGCCATGGTTACTCGACCTTGTTCCCTCCCTGCTTTTCCCAAAGCAGCTCTAGGGCGCAGCCTGTTGGAGCCTAGAGCCAAGGAGCTCGCTGATTGGCCAAGAACATGGGTAAAGCCCCGCCTCTGGGGTGCCAGTCACAGCAGTGGCTCTCGGAAGCCAGCACCCCGGTGCCAGGAGGGGACTGTGTTCCGGCTGTATATTGTTTCTGAACTCCCAACTCGAGGGCCCCAGCCAAGGCCACCTCTGAGATGCCAAGTTCCTGACAGGCAGAACCAGCCTCGAGTGCCTGCCAAGTGGCCTGGCCCGCATATTCATGATCTGGGCTGTGAGGACTAACAGTGACTGATAGGGGAGGTCTGGGTGGCTCCTTTATCCTGAAATACTTTATCCTTTCTGTCACCCACCTCCCTCCACAAAATGCACCCATCCCAGGGTGTGGTCCCTTTCTCTTCCCATCTCCGGGTAACTCAGAGTCCCTGACCCAGGGGCTGGGGCGTGGTCCTGAAGCCATGCTGACGAAGTCACAAAGAGGTGTTAATGGCTGAAGATGTCTTAATACACATGGCCCCTTGGTGACATATTTAAGGGAGCCTTTAATGCCTTAACCCGAGGAAGTGACTCTGACAATGACAATCTGAGGATTTGGTCTGAGTTCATAGTACCAGCCACTGTGTCCAGCCCTGGGGTTACTGTCGCTGCATACAGGGGCCAAATTCCCATCCGAGGCCCTAAATCTAATCACATAGACAGGGGTCTCAGGCACCTAAACAGAAAGCAGCTTTCACAGGGGCTGCCTGGGATTTGCAGCCAGATTGGGTGACACTTTTGTACATTTTGAGCCTAAACAAGCCAGACTCAGAATGATCCAGCTGCCCTCCCCAGGATGCTGTGAACATTTGGGGGTTGCCTATTTAACTCATACAGAGGAGCATCTGCTCGCTTGTTAGGTGACATTTGCAGCGAATGAGATGCCTCCAGAAGACTGGGTAGCATCACGTTCATTTTCCTGGTGGGAAACTGAGGCAGGAGGTGGTCAGACCCTTCTGTGAAGCCCCTGAGAAGAAACCAGCAAAGGGAGGAGCCACTGCCAACAGAGATCCCTCAATTCTCTAGATCTTGGCTCTGCTTGTGCATTTTTTATTGAGATTTTGAGCAGCAAAACCATGTCATGATACTTGCTGCATATTTTTGCCATGGCCGCTTTTCTTTTGCTGTTTTTAAAACATCACTGGGTTCTGCATACACGAAGCCATGGTGGGTGACTCTGGGGCTCCGACAAGCAGTACAGGAACCCAGCCAGCTGGACACTGTATTAATCAACTCAGGCTGCTGTAAACTACTCCGACTGGGTGGGTCTAACAACAGAAATTTACTTTCTCACAGTTCTGGAGGCCAGAAGTCCACAATCAAGTTATCTCCTGGTCTGGCTTCTTCTGAGCCCTCCGCCCGTGGCTGGAAGGTAGCCACCTTCTTTCTGTGTCCTCTCTTTGTCTTTATGCCGCTGTATGCCTGAGGTCTCTGGTATGTCTGAATTCCCTTTTATAAGGACATCAATGAGTCAGGCAAGGTGGCACACGCTTGTAATCCCAGAGCTCTGGGAGGCTGAGACAGGAGGATCACAAGTTCGAGCCCAGCCTGGGCAACTTGGTGACCTAACGAAGGCCTTTGGTTCAATCTCTAGTACTAAAAAAAAGAAAGTGGGAAGGGGGACCAAACAAATGGGATGATTGGATTAGGGACCATCTTGATTTAGTAGAGGATCAATTGTAATTTAATCACTTCTTCAATAGCCCTGTCTCCAAATATAGTCACATTCTGAGGTGCTGGGGATTTGGGCTTCGGTGAGGGATGGGACAGTTCACCCCAGAACAGGTACGTTGTGTCATAGCTGGGTGATTCCATTTGTCTCACAGCACGGTAGATGGGAACCTCTAGAGAGTCTGGTTTTTGTCCCAGTTCAGCTACCAACTCACTACAGACCCTTGGGCAGCCTTTTCCACTCTGAGGCACTTGGTGGAAATTATCTCCTAGCCCATTCCCCACACAACCACCCAGGACTCTAATGATTCAGTTCATCTTGTTCTCACGATCAACTTTTCAGCCCTTGCCTGTAAACCATGAGCACTCAGCTCCAGCTCCCTACTCCACGGGCACCCTTGCAATGACTATCTTCCCCTTGGTCACTGTTCACTGAGTAACACCTAAGCTGCCACGTCCCTCAGGGCAAAGGAATCAATCAGTGCGCTTACAGATGGCTAGGTAGCATTTCCAAGCTGGCTCAACTCCGACTTTGTCAATGTAATTAACTCCTAAAATATACTTTCTCTAAAACACTCTTTCTCTGTCACTGTGCCACGCTTGTTTTTGTGCACATGAAAGAAACAGAATCCACTTCTAAATACAAGCTGATTGTTGACTGTGACAACATTAGCATGGGCTTTTCCCAGCCTGGAGGCTGAGCTGCCAATCAAGGAGCTCTCACTGGGAGAAAGCAAGTCACACTTCTCTGGGGGACAAGTTCTGGGTCATTTTCTTCTCTCATGGTGAGATGGGTAAATGTGTCCATAATCACTGCCGTTTCCTTTCCATCTATAAATAAATCTCAAAACCAGAGCCTATCTGTAGCCTCTCCACACTCAAAACAATTTTCTCAAACACTGGAGTACATAAACTCAACTCAGCATGTAGAAAGGCCGCTTCCTCGGTGTAATTTCTACTCTTTTATTTCCATAAGCATTGAAAAAAAAAAAACCTTTGGTAGAGTTTTCTTTTCCACCTTCACAACACGTGAGCAATAAGTAATAAACCAAAGTGTCAGAAATTAGGAAATAAAGTGACTCAGTGTTACCAGCCACCAAGAAGGAACAATTCTGGCCTTGGGTCACTGCTGAGGCTCACCACCTCCTTCTTGTCCCACACATGAGTCAGTCACGTTTCCCCACCAAGACACCACCAGAGGAGGGCATAGTCTGTTTCCGAGGCAACACAGACTCTAGAGGGAGCCACTGCTGACAAATCTGCAGGTGCCACGGGCGTATCAGCGGCGCCCTCAGAGGACCACAAGTAGGGTTGACCTTCAAGTAGTTCCCTCCGCTCCCCAGTAACAAAGTCTATTAGAGTCCTCTGGGAAGCAGAACCAATCGGATGTCCATGGAGAGAGAGAAAGAGAGAGGGAAGGAGTTGGCCCACACAGTTGTGAAGGCTGGGCGAGTCCAGCCAAAATCTGATGGGAGAGGCTGGCCGGCTGCAGGCTGAGGGAAGAGTTGTAGTTCAGGACCAGAGGTAGCTTTTTCCCCACTCTGAACAGGCTGGGCCTCTGTTTTAGTCAGACTGCCTACTGATTGGGTGAGGCCACCCACACTATGCGGGATAACCTACTTTTTCAGTGTCCACTGATTCAAATGTTAACCTCATCCCCAAACCACCCTCACAGAAACACCCAGAAAAATGTTGAAACACATATCTGGGCCCCTGGCCCTGACGCACAAAATTCAGCCTATTTATTTATTTATTTATTTATTTTCAGCACGAGGTCTTGCTGTCTCAAGACTGGGCTCAGCCAGAACTTGTGCTCCGAACGCCTCCACCTCCCAGAGTGCTGGAATCGCAGGTGTGCGCCACACACCTAGCTGTGAACCCACTCTCGCGTGCTAATACGACACTTGGGGAAGCTAGTTAACCTTCCGAACACACTCTGAGGAGCGAGCGGGCGCAGAAGTGGGTGAATGCGTGGACCCAGCAAGGACAGGGCAGGACCCAGCGTGGGCCCAGCCCAGGCAGCAGCTGCTCCTCCCAGGATGTAGCAGGGTTGAGGTTCAGTAGCCACCACCCACAGCTCCCTTCGCCGCAGAGGTGGTGAGCTGCAGCCAGGCCAGAGCCCCAGCAGCCGCCCCCACCCCCAGCGCTGTGCACCCCGACAGGTGGCTGCCAGATGCACAGAGGAGTTGATGGGGATTGGGCAGGTGCCCTCCACACCCTCCAAGAGCTGCTTCTCCGGGAAGCAGTGCTGGGGCCTCAGTCCTTTGTTTTCATAGAGCTAAGGTCTCTCTCACAGAATCCCTGTGCCACTGCAGGTCACACCTCCCTGACCTGCCTCAGCTTTCTGGTGTGTAAGAGCGAGCCAGGATGCTCCGTGCCTCCTCTAAGGTTCTCTGGCTGGGGAGCCGGCCTTGGGAATTTTCCCTGCTGGCTCCGGGGAAGCTGTTGTTCGGAGACCTGAGTTCCCAGCATGCTGTGTGTCACTACCAGCCTGGGCCTCAGTTCTTCTATTCCTACAGTGAGCGAGATGGACCGAGTCATCTCCAGCTCTGTCCCAACTCCAAAGAATGTAGGTGTTACAGGCAAAACCCAGCGAAGACCAGGCAGTGTGCCCCCAGCCCCTGCTCCCCACCAGCAACACCCCGATGACACCACAAAGAGTGTGGAATCTAACTGGGAAAGCGGGTGAGGGGAGGAAGCCAAATTTGCTGCTCTATTCCTTTCTTTCATCCCAGCATCTGCCCTGTAATCAGCACCATGGGTAAGGCCCGTGGGGTCAGCCAACTCCTGGGGTTCAAGAGAAGGTTCAGGATCAAGAGTTACTGTTCTCATGCTAAACAAAGGGCACAGAGACACTGCCCAGCTGAAAGCCATCCAAGATGTAATCATGTTCAAACCTCCACTGCCCCTGCCACTCACTCTGGGCAGACTGGCGGCACTAGGAGCCTCAGTTTCTCCATCCACAAGAGGGGCAGCACCCATCTCTTTCCTGAGGAGTGAGCCAAAGTGAGGCCTGAAATGAGGACTCTTGCAGTGCCCAGTTGAGGAGGTGGGCTGACTTGGGGCTGCTTGCTGGTGTAGTCCCCACCACTGTGATCCGAGCTTAGCTGGCTTGTCACCCTTCTCAGGCCTGCTCTCTAAGCCCCCGTGGCCTAAAATGGCTTCTTCCCATACCTCTTATTGCTTCCTCTTCACCAGCAGGAGGAGCAGTTTGGGTGGGCTTGTGGGAAAAACTGACACTTACTGATCATTGTTCTTAGATTCTACATTCCAGGTTCTTAGATTCTAGAGATTCTCCTGTGGTTCCGGTGAGGGGCTTGAGGGCCTGGGTCACTAACAAATTTCCAGGTGATGTCAACACTATGATATGATCTAAGCCCCTGGAATTGCACGACAGACATCTGAATGGTTTCAAAGTTCTCCAGATGGTTCTAGTGTGAAGCCAATGTTGTGAGAAACTGGCTTAGATCTACCAGGGTTTATCAATGGAGGTAGGGATAAAGCCACCTTCCCCTGAGTCTAGTTAGGGAGTAATGACTTTACAAGCCAAATATAGGATCCTAAGAGTAAAATGGGGCCATGTGAGCTTTGGGGGATCCTGAAAGTCCCCCATTGTTTTAGCTCCCTACCAGCCTCTACAGGCTCGGCCTCCTCAGACAAGGCTGTGCTGGGCAAGATGTCAAGACCATGGGCTCATGCCTGGCCCCTCTCCCCCATGAGCTGGTACTCACTGGGATGCTGCAGCAGCCTGCCCTTGAGAACCAGCAGCCAAAGTGTCCTCCCACCCACTGTCAGAGCCGGGGATGGACATCTAGTTCCACACAGGGCCAATAGATCCTCAGAAATGACCTTGCCATCTCAGGGTTCCAACTACAGAGTCCAGGCCAGTCTTCATCGCTGGCCTTTCAATGATTCATTTTGCATTAAGCAAGCATAAAAAGAACAGGGCTTGAGGGCTTTGGAAGTCTCTCATCAGGCAAAAAAGGAACCACATTCACAGAAGACTGAACTTGGGTCAATTTTTATTTTAAATCCACAAGCACCCATACACCTCCCACCCCATTTCAGACACTGTACAATCTGTGCAAGAAAACTATTTTAAAAAACATTCTGTAAAGTCTCTTCAGAAGTTATTTTTATTAATAAAATAATGAAGAGACTAAATTCAACAAGCCCCTCAAGAGGCTCCATGCAAGTACATTTGGAATCTATGCTTTTACCTGACTTTCTCTGCCTAGAAGCCTGAAACCCCTTTCCACTGTTCAGCCTTAGATGGGTCAACACCTTTTTGAAAAGTTACTCCAACTGATACTGATATCACAAAATATTGAAATCAAGCTTGAGTATTGTGACAACTGATTCAAAGGTATTAGAAGTCTTGACATTAAAGGTTAGGAGAGAGAAATCACACAGCCACCAAAGGAACTGAATATATTCTTTATAAAGTAGACTTATCGAGCATCGCTGAGTGTGCGCAGGTCAGGGGAGCAGCGGTGTGGTTCAGACCAGCTCGGCTGCAGGCAGATCCCTGTCAGGGATCCACCCGGACCCCAGAGGCTCCGGCAAACCTGCCCAGCCAAGGCCCGCCCAGGAAAGAGCTGCGCAGGCGCACAAGCTTCAGTCAGAGGCCCGAAACCCAGGAATTGGTGCCCTGGTGAGCAGCAGAGAAAAGGCCTCTCGGTGGCTCACTGAGAATTGACGACCACTGGGTGAGCAAAAAGTTGTCTCAATGAAATCTACAGAATTTTCAGGGCCTGAACTGTGTCCTACAAGGTCACTCATAGGCTTGGCGTTCAGCCAGGAACGAGTCCCCCGTCTTGAATCCAGACAGTTTCTTGTGAGTGCGAGGTTCGACGGCAGGAATT